TGCTGCCACAAAGATTCACAGCCTTAGAAATCTGTATAGGGTTATTATGAGTTGGAATTGACGCAGTGGCATTTAACAGCATTCTCTATATCAACTTCTAGAGAAAGAGTCCTTTCTTATTTTGGATGGAATATTGAATATTTATTTACAGAAGAACATTTAACTAATCTTACATTGACAGAGAGATTACTATTGGTTATTTTTCTGCTTTGTAGTGGGGACATGCTGTCTTTTATTTGTAGTTGTATTTGAATCTAATATTTTATGGTTTGTAAGTCTCTTTAAAGTTCTGCTATCTTTCTATTTTTTGTATTGGTGCTTTTCAAATATTGTCTTAGAAACTAAAAAGAAATAGCTACAATGCCACTTTCTATTAAAATTAAGTCTAACATCTGTTAATTTTTCTTATTTTAAACAAATATATATGAAAAGATGTAGCATATTTTAGGTTAACACCACTCATGTTTTTTTAATTGGGGAGGATGCTTAGATTTTGAGCCAGGTATATAAAGGGATCTGTAGCACCTGATAAACACTCAGTTGTCTATTGAATTAAACCTTTCCAAATGTGCTGTGTTTATGTTATGAAATTCACAATTTGACCATCAACACATCTGTTGTCACGTAGGCAAACATTTCAGTAATGCAGAGTCCTCTTGTTGGAGTTACTACCACTACTCCTGGAACAGGTAAGCAATGCCTTTTAACACTTAAACTTTTAGAATGAAGTATAGTAAAAATAAAATAACTTTACTTTTAGAATGAAGCCCTTTGTTACTATTGCCAAAAGCTTTTTTCTTAATAGTCCAAATTTTGAGACTTTCTCAAATGTCAGTAACTTCTTTCAGGAAGGAAATAACTCTGTGTGCGGGGGCGTCAAAAAGCTTGTGGAAAATTCCATTGTCTTTTAATTCCAATTTTCTACCAACTTTTTGAAGGTTCTTTGTATGCTGATTCTGTTCTGATTATATAGGTGTGATGTGATATTATATAAAAATGTTAAGAATTTTAAAAAATTGCATAATTAGGTGTTCGAGTATCTTCTAAGTTGTGTGATTAAAAGAAGCTGTTGCAATTAGGAAGAAAAGTACTTGATGGACTGAATAATAAAGGTGTTTGAGAGTTATTAATATATAGTTCTAAATGTTGATTGACTAGATTTTATCTAGTGTTTCATTAGGATTAATGACATTTTTATCACCATCATATCATCATTAGCGCAACTTTTATTACATCTGTTTTTTTTTTCTAGTGTTGTTATAACAGAAATACCACAAGTAATGGTTTTAAAGAACAAAAATTTAGTGTCTCAAATTTTTTGAGGCTAGATGTCTGAATTCAAGGCAGCGCACTAAGGGAAGGCTGTCTTGCAGTGAACTTTAGGGGATGATCCTCATCTTAGCGCCAGTAGCCCCAGTGTTGCTCAGTTCTTTGCCTACCTTCACATGTCATGTGTATGTGTTTACTTGGCTTCTGTGTCTAATTTATTTTTGTAATACACAGAAGTGATTGGGTTTAGGACACAGTTTACACTGAAATGATCTCATTAGTCTAATGAGGTACTGTTCTCAAACGGGATTACATTCACAGGTATAGAGTTAAGATTTTGACACATATCCTGACATACTTGTAATATCCGTTTGTTGTTAAGTGCTGTTAAGTTGTTTTTGACTCATAGCAACCCTGTGTAGGGTTTCTGAAGAATAGCTGGTGGGTTTGAATGACTGACTTCATAGTTAGTAGTCCAGTGCTTATCCTACAGTGCCACAGTGTTGTTGCTAGGTACCATTGAGTCAGTTCTGACTCTTGTGACCCTAAATAGGGTTTTCAAGGAGCAGCTGATGGGTTTGTACCATTGACTGCAGTTAGTAGTCCTGTGCTTATCCTTCAGCACTATACCAGGACTCCGCAGCACCACACTTTTTTGTTCTTGTTAAGTCCTGTTGAGTCGGTTCTGACTCATAGTGACCCGGTATAGGTTTTCTGAGGAGCGGTTGATGGATTTGAACCACCAACCTTGCGGCTCACACTGACTTTGCGGTCCAGTACATCATCCTGAGGAGGTCCAAGAGCTAAACAGAAAATTTCAAAGATTAGCTAGAGAAGATAAAGCCAAATATTACAACAAAATTTGAAATGATCTGGAATCAGAAAA